CCAGATGTCATTGAATAATGGTACTTGTCGAAAAGCCCGTTGAAAAATGTCGTTGGAATCCCCAGATGACCTACAAAAGATGAAACTCTGGGAGACATCTGTATAAATTTGACGTGTACTGTAGTACACGTAGGTGTCACAAAAAAACAGTTTGATGTTTTATTCCTTACTGTTCGGCAAAAATTTCCTTTTATCGATGACTTAAGAATAACAATAAAATTATTTACTCTGGTACTTAACATGTTTTTATCATGTTCATTTCTCTGAAAGATCCACGAAGGTAATTATACGATGAGAGAAAAACTTGATTTGTAACTGGTTTCAGTGCCACTGGTTTCTTGAAGACAATGTGAAAGATTTATCGATATATTGTTTAAAAATACAATGAGCAATTAACTACCAAATAAAACCGATACCGATGCATCGAAGTAACGATTACACAAAGTATTTAACAAAGGCCGTAGCCAGTGGATCTATATAATACTAGCGTCGCCAGCAACTTCGTCCGCCAGTCAATAAAAATTAACTGATTAGCAACCTGTGCTTTATTCCAGAGTTTAATCTGCTCCAAATCTCATCTAGATCATTCGGTCTATATGGAGTTATTAGGTAACAAACATTCGCATTTATAACATCAGTAAGAAACATAGGATAGTGAAACAAACAGTACAGTTGGCACCAAAAAATTTGTAGAGTGGCTTTCGCCTACCGCGGCACGGCTCGCTCGGTTGATAAGTGGCCTAAGGGCTCCCCCCGCACCGTGCCCTTACCCCTGCGACCTACTTCCACCATCGCCCTCGCGATCTTTGTGCACGACGCTCTTGCACAACATAGATATCAGCTGGATGATTTTGTGCTGATTAAAGTATTCTATTCGGTCCCAATTCGAAACGCTTCAATCGATTTTGTAACACTTCAAATAAGTACGTACTAAGAACGTTCACGATGATTTAATTAAATGTACGACAATCTCTTTGAATACAAGTTTCGTTGCAAATAAAATTTAGACAGGATGGGAATGTTGTTTCTATTACAAAAAATTGTTTTAGTAATTTGGAGATTAAACCAACCGTATCGGTTTTATTTCTTATTGCATGGTTTCTTTTTATTCTCAAGAAGAAAGATGCAGAATAAAATACTATTATGTCAAAAAACAGTACATTACAAATAAAAATACATTATATCATTTAAGTTTAAATTTGTTTTTACATACACGAGAAAGTAGAATCAGTAGTTAGCAAAACGGATTCTATGTGAAATTTAGAAAGTAATTAAATATTGACGTTGACATAACTATTGCTTATCATGCAGTTTAAGCAACTGTTTATATTCATGAAACGTTTATTCAGTAACCATTAAGTACTGGGAACAGTTCGTACTTATTGTAATCTGTCACACATTACGTTTATCAGCTAACGTATGTGGAAAGAAGCATTTGAACGCTGAACACGTGACTGCTACAAAAACACGTGTACACTTTATGAGAGAAACGGCGATAATGGACTGGTCACAATTAATAACCAATTTATTTTCTATCAATATTGTTTATTTAAAAATTTCAGTCTCTTCAGCGACATTCGATCATCGTTCAACAGAAATCGTTCCTTCTTTTTTTGAATAGATTTATAAATTCAGCTATATTAAAAAAAATGTACAGAAGTTTAGATTGCACTTATCACAACAAATTCCACATTTTCAAATGCGAAAATATAAAAGCCATTACAGCATTTATTGAATAATTCGATAATGTACCAATACCAACATAAACTGTGTTATGCTGCGCTAAAATGAACGTAATGCAAATAAGATTCGAAACAATTAAGGTCAAAGTTAGAACTGACCTATTATTCTGTGCTGTCTTAAATTTCAATACAACTGTTACTATCACATTTTGATAAAAATACAGTATTGTGAATTAAGTATAACGTGTATGTAAAGATATTTCGACACATCGTCAATTAACGCGATATATGATCTGCCGGCGGGCGCCAGATGTAATGCGCTAGATAACCAGTTATAGTTCCCAGAGAAGCTGCTCCAATTCGGCAACGAGTAGGTAATCTAAACAAATATACGTACATACTTATATTGTGCGTAACTAGTTTGTATTGTGTATAAATACATACACCAGAGAAACGCAAATTTGGCAACTTGAAGGTGACTAAACTTCTCTTTGGATAAGTGTTCATCAATAGACTTGCAATGACTCAGTTGAGCGAGCTAAACGTCGACCTCCTTCATACTACTAGCAAAATATTATATAAACTGTGATACTACTAAGGAATTGACAAGCAATCGAAGTGATCAAGTTAAAAAAATCTACATATCAGACATTCTAGAAATCTAGAGAAATAATCTAAAAATTATAAATTCAGTTTAGCAATTACGCGTTATGTTTAAAGGACTCTAAAAAGTAACTACACTTTTAAAAACAATTGCAAGTGTAAGTTCGAGTAACAGTAGTTTAGAATAACATGGTAGAGAATATCCTACAACATTGGACAGCCTGGTGTACCTATCTGGGCGTTCTGGTCTGTCTCAGTCTTGGTGGGAGAGCGGTGCAGTGTTACGAAGATATGTCGTCTATTTATAACTGAGCATTGCAGGCGGCCGGACTCCGCGCCCTGCGAGATACGTCATGACTCTTTCAATACAAGTTGCGATTGGGTACAAATAAATAATTATTTTTTAATATCCACCACTACGTCTTATTAATACATTTTTATGCTAGTAAAGTACTAGTAAGTAGCTAGTAAAGTAGTAAAATATAAAGTTAACAGCTATAATTATTAAGAAATCTTAGACATTTATACATTGCAAGCCCGACCTCCCTTAAGACTTACCGAGTGGCTACTCGGTATAGTTCTTTTGACATTAACATTTGGTGATAACTGTTTTCATTGCCATAACACATGTTCAAAACATGTATTTATTGACTCGCCTTATGCTCATATACAAAACAAAGATAATAGACATCTTATGTCTAACGGTCTCTCAGAGTGGAAATCTACAGTAAATGAATGTGAAAACTCCTATAATTTATCTGTTGATGTCCTAACGAAATCTATTCATCTGTTTATTGTTGAAATTATAATTTTACAAATTTTTAATTAAATTGATAAGTATTAAGTGTAATACAAAATAAAACCAAAAACTTCTTAGGCATTGAAACGAAAGAACAGTCTTTGTTAATAATATCATACAGCACCAGCAACACATTATGTATTTTAAATAGAATCGAACAAGAACGAGATTCTTGGCGCGGACGCAATGGACGTTTATGATTTGTTTTTTTATTTCTTTTTTTTCCGTGGAGCGAAGCCCGAGTCGGGAGAGTTCCGAGGCGCGGTACAGCCGGAGCACGCGGCCGGTGCATCGAACGCCGCGGTGAGAGCGGGGTCGACGAACTTTGCGCCATGTGCATTCGGTTTTGAACCGTTTCATATATGTACACACATACGTATACATAACCCGATGGATGTCTATCCGATGTAAACAAATCGACTGGTTAGTCATTGCGCCAACGTAATTGCGGAAGTATACTACGTGACAAACGCTAACATTAATATAATAGACGGGAAGGCGGCGTTGCTTTATTACACTAACTAATAAACACCAGTAGACTATTGGTATACATCTTGTAATGTCGCGTTACAGATAAATCAATAGTTTAAATATAACCAAATTACTTCCATCATAATCTCGATAAACACGGAAGGCATGTTACCGCCACCTTTCACTTTCAACGCATGATCTAACTGAGCAAATCTTTATACGAAAATGTGTACGAACATACTGGCCGATTGTAACCATGATGAGACATTTCGAAATTTGTTAATAACATTTTATTCTTTGACAAAAATGGAGACAAAGAGTCTGCATCAAGTACCATTATTATAAAATAATGTTTTATGTGATATCGAGGTAAATTTATAAGTGCTGCTGCAAAACCAAGTTCAACTTTATATCAAGGGCTTGTCTATACAATAACTGGTGACGGATATGTTTATTTTGACAACCTCTGTGAAAACTCAAGTCAAGTAGAATCTATTAAACATTCGTGCATGAATGGATGATGTTTACAGGAGACAAACATCAATATTTGTAGATGCTAGAAAAATATTTGTTGGTGTAAAACAAAATTTAAACCAACATTTATGTGTGTTGCTGAAAAAATAGATGAAACGGACGATTTTTACACGATTTATTTTGACATATGTTCATTTACACTAGCGTAAGACAGGTAATGATTGTTCAGAGAAACAAAATACACATTTAATCGAGTCTTAAATGAGAGAACGGTATAATAGAGGTATATTAGCCAATTTCAGCACATTTTTTATTGTATATAAATCGATGACTTGAAGGTATCAAGAGTAAAACAACGATAAAAGAAGATGGGCGTTGGTTTTCTTGTATCACTGTACATACAGAATGACAGTTCTACGTTTGTAGGATTAGAAGATGGTAAAAACAGAACCGTTAGAATAGCACAAAATTGTACTTCGGCAACTAATAAATCTGCCGTATATTACGGCAGATTTATTAGTATTTTTCATTCGTCATATATAATGTAAAATACTCAATCTAATTAACATAGGCTGTAGGCTAACTTATTTCTATATAATATATTAGACAAGAGGCACCACGTTCGTTGCCTCTACTAATACCTACATAATACTCCAAAATTATCTCGATTTTTTGACATAAGACACTTGTGATTTTAATTCTTTATTACTTTATTTGTAGGTAATCGGAAATAATGATATCGATACTTTGGCAAACCGTAATGGCATTGGACCTATATTAAACTGAAAATCAGAGTAATGGAAAGTAGCCAATGATGACGTTACGTGAAGTAAATATACAAACTTTTTTAAAACCGCGCGCATTATGAAAACTGCAAATTTGACAGCTCGGGAAAAAGTAATTTAGTATCAAATTGTGAATTAAACCTTACTTGTATTAATCTAGGATTCTTTACGAATAACATGGTTTACCTGGAGCTCCTTATTCTTGTTATCTTTGAGTGAAGCTGCTCTGATAACACCAGCTTTCCATCCCCATTCAGAAACTTTATTCACATTAATTTTTGCCACACCACTCACAGACAGAAATCGTTTGCCAACTAAATCTTCGCGGTATCTAAATGCCATAACGAACTACACAATCACATTATTCACTGTAAAACTACACAATCGTCAAGAAACACAACGTATAAACCCATAACACGTTCCACTCTTGGTAGAGCGAAGGGAAACTACGTAAAACAAAAAGTGCTTCAAGCCAATGAACACATTATACGACTATTTGTGAAGTAAGGCGGCAAACTTTCGTGGTAGACGAGAAGACGACCACCCGAAATCGGTCGTACTATCGTGATAAATTTAGTACAACCACAAAATGAAAAGAACACTTGGACCCTAATACTGTCCAAGAGCAATGAGTCTTTTTCATTTATTCGGGTAATCTTTTCAACATTGTTTGGTATTGTTTTTAAAATAGCCGATAGATGGTGCGCAATTAAAATTAACTTTAAATCTCGTTTTTAATTGTGAGATGTCGCTTTTCTCAAAATTACTGTATTTTCATAACGATTTTTAATTACGATTTCTAAATCATAACTTCTTTATATTGAATAGTGTTACTTTGTAAGAAGTAGCACATTTTTTTACTAATAAACGTGTATTTTTAAATGAATAATTTATTGTAAGCTAATGATGCGTTTGTATTTTTATTCTCAAGTATTTATATACGAAAACACAAAACTGATCTCACAGTCTTATAAAATTCGACACTAGTTGGGATGTTCCAATTCAAAAATCAGTTGAATTTTAAAAAATGCTCTAAGTTAGGTAGTTAATATTTGTATTAAGGTTTTTGAACGTAGCAGTTTTATTGATTACTGAGATCACGTGATCAAAACATCAGTTCAGTTCAATATGGCGGAGTAGTCTTATTTCTGAGCGGCTGTGTTTTGTCATGTTTACTTTTGTGGTTATTTTTGAGCTGATTTTTCTTATGTGAACATTAATAATATGATATCATCGATTATTTCCCGATTGGTCATGTACGTATTATTTCTTATTATTAAAAGTTACTTTAACTCATTGTGTAATTGTGACGTTTTACTTAATATTTTTGTGAAGAATTTTCTTTGTCACGTATTTTGTATATTACGAATTCTTTGTGTTTTTCATTTTATATGTTGCTGATAAAATGCGCTTATAGCATTATTCTGAAAATTTTTCTTCAGATTGGTAAATCTTTTACAATGTAAATTTCCACATCTAAGAAAGAAACTGTTAGTAATTATGAGTTAAAATAGAAGAAAAAATCAGGTTATTTCATGACTAGTTTTAATTTTATTTTATATTTGTGTATTTGTTATTTTTGAACCATGGTGAATCCCTCTGTCAGTCAGTACAAATGTCATATTGTTAAATTCGAATAGTGGATACATTTCCACCAGAGTTGAGGCTCTTACTGTTAGCTACTTATAATTAATTTAAATAAGGCATTGGTAAATGGAAAAACTACAAGTAATTCATCAGACATCACTGTGGCCACTACCCTCAGTAATCTATAAACCTATTGCTTGTAGATGTTATATCTAATTTTAATAGACAAATTAAGCGATATTTTCACTTTGTGGAACCTTTATTCTTAAAATCATAGCAGTGACTCCAAATAGATTTTTGTAAGGAGTTAATCAAGTGTGTAATCTTACTAATATTATAAAAGTGATTTTTCTGCTAAAGGCCTGAATAGATCTTGATGATATTTGGAATAGATGTAGAGCATAGTCGGGAAGAACACATTGGCTTGCTTTGGTTTTAACATGCTTATGGAGTCGCAGGTAAAAGCTAGTGGTAATCAAATAAGCTGTCACAGTGTTCTTTCTCAGAATTTCAGTGAGTGACAATATAACTTAAAACTTGCAGTTATAAGTGTGACTGAGTATTCCTTAACAACTCTGAAACTCAGGCATTGGTTTGTTCTTTCATCTTTCCAATAGACCCAACTCTGAACTTCCAATTTTATTCACAAATGCCCAGATCAAGGGTCAATTAGTCAATGCCGTATTTTATAAATACAAAACTTTAGATGGATGGATGTTAATTACGAGTTTGTAGCCTAAATCATTGAATGGATTTCGATGAAATTTGCCATAGATGTAGAGGAAAATCTGGAATAACACATATGCTACTTATATTTGTTTTTTTTTTTAATTCCAAGCGGACAGAGTTGCAGGCGAAAACTAGTTCTCTATAATTTAAAAAACTTACCTGGTCAATAGTCTATGAAAAAATGCAATCAGCCCATATACAAAAATTAAGGAGTGATAATACAACTAGTTTACTAATTTCAAATCATTTAAGCATTTATTATGATTAATAGCAATTAAGAAGTAAGAGTTAAGTAATGTAAAGAATCACAATCAACCTATTGGTATAGGAGAATGTAAAGTGTGTTGTTAGAAAAGTTATCTTATTTGAAATAATTATGGGAAGGTTGAAAACCACTAGGGCTTCTAAAACAATCAGGGGCAATCAGGATGCTGCCGTCAGCTAATCCTCTCCAAGCCAAAAAACCAAAAACTATTCTTTTTAATTTGCACATGTAGCTATAATTTTGGTTTTTGTTTTTCTGTATTTTCAATTTTAAAATTTGGCAAGTTAAATGCAAAAGCGAAATTTTTAATTTCGTCTTTTTTCTAAATGATCGTGGCCATCATGTTGCCACGAATTTTTTAAATTACTGTATTGTCAATCCGTGATAAAGTGGGCTACATTTCAAATTGATCATATATCCTCAAGTGAATGAAATTCGAGTTCCAAAACTCCATTACGTTGATGGACGGAGCTGTGGCAATGTTAATAAAATCGTTATAAAAGAGGAAATTAGATATTATACAGCTAAAAGAAACTTTATATTTTTATGATAAGTGAAATACGATGAATATGTGAAATGTTTGCGCATGCATGTTAGTATTTCTTCGACACGTGTCTTATAAACTAGACGCCTTTCGACGTCACTGCTGGCGCACTGCCAGTTTTAGATGATTTTAGAATCAGCTGTAGCTGAAATTTGGCAACTTTACCGTTTTTTAAATCATTTATTCGTGTTCTAACCTCCAAACATTGCGTACCTACAGAACAACAGATATCTTATTTGTACAAGCTATTGTGTAATTACTACAAAGAGGAAAGGAAGGCAGAAATAATAGCAGATATACAAATTGTTGAGCGCAGACATGGTCGCGTCATTCCAGAGCCGTCTAAATTAATCTGTATCAACTGCTCGAACAAAGAAGTTACTCAAGCTTGCTGTCCGTCCTGAATTCATCATTACAGTATCCCGGTGCACTGCCGGGTGCTATTTTCGGTGAGGCCTACCGCTGGCCGTTCGCCTTTTGGTTGCAGTTAAAGTTTTAGTTCGTGATCGCGGCCCGAGTTAACGGCTG